CAAAGTGACACATGTCTGACTCTGACACAAAAAAGTCACTCCCCCAGTTTCTCTTGCTCCAAATTAAAGGTCACTAGTACTAAAAAAAATTGTCTGACTTTAATGATAATTACTTAAGAGTTATTTTATATGATTTATATTATAATTAATCCATTACACTCAAGCAATTTTACTTTAACAGTTATTATAAATCATTTATTTTAAATGAATGTTAATATATACAGATCGTATGTAATATAAATAAGCTGTAGAATCAATAGATAAAGCTTTAAAAATGACTACGTTACCTTACATGTTCGAGTCTCTATCGCTGTACATTTCCAACTATATAAACTAACTTAACAAGTTTCACTTGTGACTGCACTGATAAAGCAAGATAATTTCTGTTATTTGTCCTCTTTCATGGAGAAGTCCTTTCTTCGTGTAAATGTGTTTAAATTCCTCATATTCTTCAATTTCTTAACCTTTAGCAAAACCTTTAACCAAGGCTCATGATTGGCTGTTCTCCAGTAATGTCACACATTCATGTGCACGTGCTCCACAAACTCAGGATCAAAGCCTGAGTTGACAAAGAAAGCTGATGATCAGCATCATGGTACCAACAAAGCCGGATTGGAGTGGTTTGGTTTTGTCAACTCGAAACTAATCCTGTAACTCTGAATTTGTTCATCTGCCATCATGGTACAGGCCCCAGTCTTTAGTGTCACGTGATCCTTCAAAAACCACTATAACATGCCGATTTGGTGCTCAAGAAACATTTTATTATAATTTGTTAAACAGTTGTGCTGCTTAATTATTTTAGTGGAAACTACATTTTTTCCAGCATTCTTTATTATTAGAAAGTTCAAAAGAACAGCATTTATTTGAAATATAAGTCTTTTGTAACAATATAAATGTCTTTACACTGTCACTTTTGATCAATTTACTGCATCCTTGCTGAATGAAAGTATTCAGTTCTTTAAAAAAAATCTTACTGACCCCGAACTTTTGAATGGCAGTGTAAGTGTATTTTTTTTTTATTACACTAGTACAATTTTTTTCACTAGTTTTTAACTTCTAAACAAGTGAAACAAAATCTGTGTTGCTTCTTGTGTAAATTTATCATGTTTTGAGAGATATAATGTTTTTGTATTTTAACTGAAATATTATTATTATTATTATTATTATTAATAATACTTAAGAATAGAAAAGTGCTCTAGGTCAGTGCTCTGTACCTTTGTGTCTTCAGGTGAGCGTGTAGGGGGCTTCACGGTGGTCTGTAAGGATGCTGAAGAGGCTAAGCGTGTGGAATCCCAGCTGAAAATTCTCATTCGGCCCATCTACTCCAACCCCCCTATGAATGGAGCTCGTATCGCCTCCACCATTCTCGACACGCCTGAACTCTACAAAGAATGGTGAGTCCTGAGATAAAGTCCCATCACAAACACAGCCAATGAGAACTGAGCTCTACAGACTGTCGCTTTACTGTTTTTCTCTTAGGCTCGTGGAGGTGAAAGACATGGCCGACCGCATTATTAAGATGAGGGAGATGCTTGTGTCGAACCTGAAGAAGGAGGGCTCCACTCACAACTGGCAGCATGTCACTGACCAGATCGGAATGTTCTGCTTTACGGGACTCAAACCGGAGCAGGCAAGTCAAGTGGAAGTGCATTCTGGGAATCTCTGATAAGACCTCAGCTATTTTCACTATCAGCCTTTTCTCACTGGCTTTTCTCTGCTTGTCTTCTTTATGGCTGTTTGTCAGGTGGAGCGTCTGATTAAAGAATTCTCTATATACATGACAAAAGACGGCCGGATCTCTGTGGCTGGTGTGACGTCTGCAAACGTGGGATATCTAGCACACGCCATCCATGCTGTTACCAAGTGAAGCTGGCTCCTGAGACTAGTTTCAGCAGACAGAGAGCAAGAAAAAGTAATTTAGATGATTCAAAAGTCCTCTGCTGCATGTCTTTTAGGACCAGATATGAAATAGAACTAATGTAGACTTCCAGTTCACTTGATTTGGTGTTAATTCATGACTCTGAATGTGAGAAAATCAATAAATTAAGGCAGGATTCTTCCTTTCAAAGTGATAAAAACAAGCTTTAAAAGCTTTTTTTTATGGTACAAAATGTTCCGATAGAACAGTTAATGACATTTAAAAATCATGTTTTTGTTTTCAAACCAATAACTAAATAAGAGTGATTGAAAAGCATATGGGGTAACTTTAAGTTAGAGAAATCATTGAAAGGAGTAAACCAGATTTCATGTTTGGACATTAATTGCAAAATCTTTGAAGGACTGTAACCAGTTTAACATGGTCATTTCACCTAGAGGAGCATAAACAATTACATTTATCAAACTGATGATTCGGCATCAAAGGTCTTCTTGAGCCATAACACATTCTTAGACATGTTTATGACTGTAAGGCACTTATTCTATACTGCAGCTTAAGCTCATTATTAGTAATGATAGATTGTCTATAATGTGTGCACCACATGTGTTCTGGTGTAATTTAATATACATTTATCTTGCACTTTTGTCTAGAAGTTCCAAATGTCACACATAAATCATTTCATAAATCATTAGGCATTCACACTAATTTTGTGTTTTGTCCTGGCCATAAAACTCATATGTCAAACTTTTTTTTTTTAATTGTCACTGCATTTGTGGACAAAATCGAATTAAGATTCATTTTGGAATGAAAACTGAACAAAGTATAACTGATATTTCAGTGGTTAATTGATGCTTTAAGAAAAGCTTTACGTGTTTAGTGTGTGGATGTTGATCATGTTGGAACATGCCATGTTTGTAAGGATTATTCAGGTTTGAAAAACTGTGCAAATATATATATTTGTATAACTAATTATTGTGTTCCTAAAGCAAATTTATGAAATTTCTCCCGAAGTTCTCCGGAATAGACATCGAAATGTCACGAGTAATACTGTATGAGTCTGTTTAAACAATGAACAAAAGAATAAAGGTGAGCTCAACGAAAACTCGAGTGTTTAATTTTTTAGGGAAAGCTTGTATAAACATAATTTTGTGGGTCACATGATCGTATTTTATAATAAAGCTACTTCTGAGTATGGTGAAGCGGAGCTACAGGGGAATTGTCGACTGTGGTGACGCAATGGAGACAGCCGATTCCCGGATCACGTGATGGTACTGTCCTCTAACTTGTATCGTCTCGTTCAAGATAGGAAATTAAACTCGTGTTCTCGATTAAAGTGACAAAATGACTCATGCGTTTAAAAACTGTTCAAACCTACTGGGCACCGGAGCCAGTCGAGGCCTCGGGCTGCAGATAGTTGAGAGTCTGGTAACGGGAGGCTTCTCTCCCGGGAAGATTATCGCTACTGCTCGCAATCCAGATGGAGCCACGGTAATGCTGTGAGCAGACAGTAGAAGGCCTATTTGCATTAGGCCTACTATACAAACATTAGAAACCAGCCCCAGATCATATACAGTCATTTTAGCTGCAGGAGAACGTGCACATGCCTAGTTGAGAATTACGATCAACATGCATTATTTAAACATTAACATTTTAGGTTAAGTTGCATATTATTTAACTTTTTAGTGATAATTTTTAAAAGAATAGATATTTCATGTAGTTTAATTATTACGCGGACCTAAAGGCCACACGTGTAATAATTATAAAAGAAAAAAGTTTACAATAGTTTAAAAGGCCTGTTTGTCTTATAGGAATTGCAAATGTTGGCAGAAGAACATCAAAACACACATTATTAAACTGGGTAAGTACTAAAGCACCGTCTAATCTGGATAAGTGGTTCTCGGCTGGTTTTGCTTCTTGACCCAGTTTTTTTATTGGACATTAGGTGGCGAGCTAACACAACACACATTTTTATTGTTAAAAAAAATCCACCAAGGGTTAAATTAAAGGATTAACATTACCATGAACTACCATAAAATTGACAGTTTTATAAATGCATAAACGACAACAAATGTGTCTGCCTTAAACTGAATGAAAACGGGGAAGAGTCAGATTTTCTTTTACCTTACATTCTTTTCTTAATGATTTAGTGGATGAGGGCATGCATGTTGCCTAGTTTTTCTCCCCGCTGCGGAAAAAAATAAAATAAAAAAGAACTAGCTACCCATTTTTGGCTAGTGACACCAGTTATGAACTTGATCTAGAAGCTGTATTTGAAATTAAGAGTTTGTTTATCTAACTCTAATTGTGTACGTCTCTGTTGCCTAGGTGTTACATGTCAGCAGAGTATAGAGAGAGCTGCATCTGAGGTGGAACAGCTTGTTCAAGAGGAAGGACTGAACTGTCTCATCAACAATGCTGGAATTAATGTAGTTACCAACCTTGAGACAGTCACCGCAGACAAGATGTTGGAAAACGTCCATACCAACTCTGTTGCCCCGTTGATGATCACCAAGGTTTCATTTCTCAAATTAAATCCAGACACAATATGCACTCAAATCTACTCTCAACACAAATGTCTGAAAACGTTCTGACTTACTGAACTTGTGATGCAGGCCATGCTCCCACTGCTGAAGCGAGCAGCTGCAAAGGGCACAGGGAAGGGGATGGGCATTCACAGAGCAGCAGTCATTAATATGACGTCTCTACTGGGTTCAATTGAGCTGTACTGAAGTGATCGTGCCAACACCTTCAAATGGTACCCATACAGAACATCAAAGGTTTGTGATAGTGTTCCTGGAGCTTAATGTCAAGATAAAAGTGTTAATTCCCAGGGAAGGGACAAAGTAATATAAGTGTTTACACTGAAAGTCAATTTGGATATTCATTAACATTTATAGGGATAGTTCACCCAAAAATGAAAATTATGTCATTAATTACTCACCCTCATGTCGTTCTAAACCCATAAGACCTTCATTCATCTTCGGAACACAAATTAAGATATTTTTGATGAAATCTGAGAGACAGCAACGCAACTACCATGTTCAAGGCCCAGAAAGGTAGTAAGGACATTGATAAAACAGTCCATGTAACATCAGTAGTTCAACCTTAATTTTATGAAGCTACGAGAATACTATTTGTATTTAAGTCACTTTTTGTATTGCGTCGTGGTACTCTTGTGAGTGGTGGTGGATACTGACCAGAAGAGAAGAAATTGTTGAATAAAGTTATTTTTGTTTTCTTTGCGCACAAAAAGTATTCTCATAGTTGAAACACTGTCGTCACATGGACTATTTTAAAGTCCCCATGAAATCAAAATTAAAGTTTTTTTGGGTGTTAGTATCAATATGTTAGTCTTAAGGTTATCTATAAGGCAGTGTGCTCCAAAACAGTGACAAAATTCGCATTTAGAAGATATAAGCGTTCAAAGCTTTCAGTTCGTCACTTCCGCCAAAACGGCTCAACGATTTTTTTGAGGTCACATCATACTTCAGCCAAAGAGTATAGAAGACCTTTGCTTCAGCTTCTCATCAAACTTTCTGTCCAATCAAATGCTCTCTAGAATCCGAAGCACCCGCCCCCTACACTATAAAATAGACGCTGAAG